CCACAGCATGCCACAACTGACAAAGCTTGCACAAGGAACAGAGAGGAATACAGTATCACACATCACATCCTGCTTCCCATTCGTTCACTTCTGATTGGGGGGAGGGGATTGTCAATAAAGGCATCTCACCGCCAACCACCCCCTATTGGTGTCGGTACAAGAAATGCAGCTATGCTACATCTATACCAGTATATCAACCCCACAGTTGAGGAACACAGTTTAGATGTCAGGATGTGTGGCCAGGTGCCCCACATCATACATATATGTAACTTGCAAAGGAGAATGTTCATGGTGAGTAACCATGAAGAAAAAGGTAGCTGACACTCAAAGGGAAGTGTTTTACACAAACGTTAACATCAGAGTACAGTAGGAGTATGTTGCAAAATCCTTTCTAAGTTGATATCAATAAAAACCACCCCAAACCCATGAAGTGTGGAAGTTTTCAAGATGCCCTGATCTTTTCTTCAGGCAAAATGTTACAAAAGTAAGGGAAGAAAGACTGACCTTAAAGCCATGTAGTTGGCAGGGTATCCTGAGATGTAATGGAAAAGGATGACTCTGTGTACATTCAAATCGAGCTTTCCCCCATTTCCTAGTTCTGCCTCATAGAGATGTGTGGTTGGCAGGTAAAGCGTTCATTAGCAAGGGCAAGTGAATGGTTTCAGCCTACTACTTCTTCCAACCTGTGTGTGAACAGTGCATGGATTTCATCATTGGCATGGTTCTGGAATTAGCAGGAGTAACATTTCTGCCATGTCTGCCATTGTTACGTTGTTTTCTAAGTTTCTATTAGTATGCTTTTCCTCTTGCAGTTAGAATAATTCAGGCATAGTTTTTTAAGTGTAATGGTTAGAATCTTAGCTTTTTATGATTAGCTTTGAAAAATCATGGGGAACATGTGGTTATGATGTAGTCAAACTGTCATTCCCATCATCTCTCACCATTGGCTGTTCTGGTCAGGGTAGACAGTGCTTCATTCATCTGAACTACCACATGTTTCTATTACTAGGTTGAAGAGTCAGGAGGTAAATATTATTTGTACATGTTCATGTGTATTCTAATTGTTTCATACTAGCATGAACTTAGACACTGAAAACAGGTTTCCATAGACCCTATTTTGAGGTACATGCTGGCACACCCAGAGCTTAGCAAGTGAAATGTCAAACAATGCACTATATTTAGCCATATGAAATCCACATTTATCTGAGCTAATGAAAGAGCGGAGAGGAAACTAATGTTTATGTTTCAGATGACTGCTAAAGGTTTGGGAAGCAATATTTGTTATACATCCTGTAGCAAACACACACACACACACACACAAACACACACAAACACACACAAACACTAACTTGGAAGATTGTTTTGTGTTTGTTTTGAGCCTTCAGCCTCTTCTGTTTTTCAGCTGAGAATGAATAACAAAACCAAGTTAAACTTGTGACAAAGGGCATAAACCAACAAAAATTAAAGACTTTTAGAATGCAAGTATTCCTTAATTTACTTCTCTCTTGGAATTCAGTCAATCTGAATTCCAACTGACTGAATTCTAACTTGGCTTTCATTAAGCTCATAAAGTTTTATTCTGTTCCTATATTTCTAGCTCGACACAACTACATTTAATAGTACTGCTTTTTACTTTGCTTAGTCCTGAGTGTATACTGGGAAATTTACTGTATATGAATTGATCAATTTCAGGGAAAGGGCAAAGGAATGTGCACATGGTTTTGGTCCCTCTTTTAGATGATTGATCCCGTAGCCCCTGCAGACCATAAGGCTCCACACATGTAAAAATGTATTGAGAAGAGATAAATTTTTATTTACATCTAGAAAAATCTAAGAGGGAAACAATAGCAGATCATTCAAGGTATTGTGGTCCACAACATTAGTGGCCTAGAATCCTCTTATTGTTTGCTTAATTTGCTGCAGCTGATTGTGGCTGATTGATCAGGGACTAGGTCACATATTGATCACATACATGTCTGGTCAATGTGCCCACTTGCAAGCTGGGATATATCACAGCACCTCATCAGTTAGCTGCAGCAATGTATACAAATGTTCCATGAACACCAATAAGACTCCAACAAATTATTCCTCTTGTGTGGTAAACCTGGAAATAGCCCAGCTGCTGGTTCTGCCATAAAAAGTGCCATGTTGTATCAGACCAGAGGCTTATCTAATCCAGCATTTTGTTGCTAAATTAGTCAACCAGCTTCCTATGGGAAGCCCACAAGGAGGACATGAGTATACCCACACCCTTTTGCTCCCCAGCAACTGGTAATGAGAGGCACGTTGCTGCCGATCCTCTAACTGATATATAACTATTACCAGTATTTATTTAGTCACTAATATCCCCAACCTTCACAAATGCATCCAATCACCCTTGAAAGTCTACTTCCTATAGGTGCCACAGTTTACCTGTGTGCTCTTACAGAGGTGGTTCACAGAGCTTTGTTCCTGGGTGCCACAGTTTACCTGTGTGCTGTGTCTACAGAGGTGGTTCACAGAGCTTTGTTCCTTTGTCTACAGAGATCGAGAAAGACAGTTCAACCTACATTGCTCGACACTGATCCACCTGGTTTGGAACTTCCATCTTTTGCCATTACTTCGACACAGTTCCTGACACAGCAACCTCTTGCCAAGATCATTTTTGGATGTTTCTGTTTTTTCCCCACCCCCCTCAAGCTCTACAACAGGCACCCTAAAGAAGAACCCTACTGACCCTGAAACATGAACTGTTCTTAGTATTTTAATGGTCCAACAAATCCATTACCCAACCTTTTTTAAAATTACGTGCTGTGTATAGAACAGCTTCTTTTGCCTGTCTTGACTCTCGCACCCGTCAGCTTTCATGAGTGACTCCACTTTCTAATATAATCAGAAAGGGAAGGGGGAAAAACATTTTCCTATCCACATTCTCCATATCATGCATAATTTTATACACCTCTCTCCTTACTTGCCTTTCTTCTTAGCTAAACAGTCCCAAACACTGTAACCTTTCCACACAGGGGAAATTCATGTAGGAATTCTTCCAATGCTTGAAACCTGCACATCACTGGAATCTCAAAAGTGATGTTGACATTTGTGAGGTCAGGCAGAACCCTGTAAGCTCCATCCCATGTTGATGCTCGGCTAAGAATCAAAGGGAAATACTTCTTTTGAGGGCTAAACAAATGAGATAAAGGCACAGAAGCAGCTCCTCTTGCCTTTGATCAAGAGAAAGACCTTGGCTAATTTAAAGCTGGGGGGAAAAGAATCTGCAAGTCTTATTTTCTCCCCTTTGTTTTGAAGCTGATACTAGGGACCAAGGAAACAAACCGTTTTGTTTCTAGCCTGGGTTTTAGCTGGATGGTGAGAGACATTGTTCGGTTCAGAAATATTTTACAAAAATCTCATTTTCCTCAGCTGTACAGCTTGTGACATTTCTTGCCAAGAGCCAGAGATGTTTGTACAGGAAGAATTCTTTCCAGGGATACATGTTGTTCTTTCTTACATCACAGCAATATTTAATCTCATTGGGAATCAGAATCAGAGAGAGTATTTGACCTTTTTGTTTGTTTGTGTGTTTGATTTTGTGAATCCATTCAGTTCCCATCTTTTTTTTAAACAATGAACACAATCTCAGAGGTTCCTTGACAAGACTGAACATGGAAGTATATCTTGATGTAACATCAAAGATGCCTTTCCTTGTAGTGGCTCATGCAACATTTGTAAAACTACAGCGGATTGTCAAAACATGGCTTAAGCCTCAATTACAATGTACCGATACTTAAGCACTTCAAACGACGTTGTCTACTGTCTCATCTCTGAGTGGGATATACACCACTTGAGAAATAATAGACACATTCCTTATGGCTTGCTTGGACTGTAAATGCCTGAGAACGGTCTCCACCCAATCACAAAGGCAAATACTTTCATTCTGAGTCACACCTGAAGGTAGCTGGAGTGAGATTCCTGAACTAAGGGGCACTCAAGCTGTGGTATTTAGAATGTTCTATGTATATTGTTCACACCCTGTCAAATACCTAATGTATGCCTCCAATACGAGAAACTGTACTGATGTAGGAAGCTGCTTCTGTAAATCTGACTCTTTGGATTAGGTGTGGCATAGAAGAAAAGAAAGTTTGGATAGAGACTAGGGGTCCTGATTTGTACTGGGTGTGTTATAATTTAGGTTTAAAATGCTAAGGGTATTTTTATGTCAGTGGTTGTTCAAAGTAAGAAGAAATGCCCTCTGAATAGCTGCATATTGAATTCTCCTGACCACTTGGAAAACCCCAGCAGCCTCTCTAAATACTTAGGTTTTCAGACCCTGCACATACTGCATTTGTCAAACTACAGTGCATTGTCAAAACATTTTTCCTTCAGTTTGCTGCTTAGTCATTATTTCTGACACTTTAAAAGCGGAATGGTGACTCTTCTTCTATTAAGGACGACACATTTTTGGAGCTAATGTGTGGAGGTGGAGCAGAACCCAAAGTGAAGGTAATACAGTAAGTGGATCTATCTCTTCTTTCTTATTGCCTCCCACTGCCTCTTCGCCCAGCAGACTCCCCCATCCCACTCCCAGGAGGGACAGCCCTCTCTTCCTAAGGTCTGAGGACCAAACAGTGTAGTCTAACAATTAGAAGATAGAGCTCCTTAAGTGCCAAGAAGATCTGATTGTCATAGCAGGCGTTTTTCCACATCTCCCACAGTTTGCAAATGAGCTTGCCTTTTGTGTTTGATTCATCATCAGGATACACAGTCTTTGCAATTAGGAATTGTTCAGTCAAAAAGTTCTGCTTGAATCATGTCTTTAGAACTCTAGCAGACTTCCAGCTTCCAAAGAGAAGCTATCAGGAATGCATAATTAGGTCTGGAGCTGATTGCTTGCAGAGAACTTTTGAAATTAGACTGGGATTATGGGCTACTCTGTGGGCCTAAGTAGCCCACCCAAACACATTGACATGATTCTCTTGTTCATTTCCCAATCTCTTCCTCTTATCTGTTGTCTACTTCTGCAGGTATACCACTCCTTTGGGTAGACAAAATGGAACAAATGGAGCTGGAACAAAATGGAATCAAGTGACTACTTCATCCATTTCATGCATAATAAGGACTTTCAAATGGCAAGAACAAATCTCAAGTTTATAACCTGGTAAGGCTATTTTTCTTTCATGGAGATAATCTCTGTAGACATTTATACAATGTACCACTGGCCAAAATTCGGTTGCTTAGCTTAGGGAATCATACTAGAGTAGGTGAGTCAACTCCTCCACAAGTTATATTGGTTCAGTTGTGTACACTCTAAGTGCAACTTGCTAAAGTGAATTGCAGTTAAGACTAGGCTTATTTGAATGGTGCAGTTATACATAGTCCTGCTCTTGTCTTGCGAACTAAATTCCATGAATTCTCTATTGACTCACTCCATCTCATGTCCAACCTTTCCCTCTCCATCTCATGTCCAAATGCTTTTAAATCCTAGCATTATCTTATTCATTATCTGTCTTCTTCAGCAATTAATGACTTATAATATGTTCAATGCATGATAACCTTGATTTAGTCCTTTTAGCTTCTAAAGAGAGTTCAGGCTTGCTTTGATCTAGAACCCATTCATTTCTCTTTCTGATGGTATCAGCAAACCTCCCATATCACATTTCAGATGAATCCATTTTTATTCTATCAGCTTGCTTCATTTTCCAGTTTTCACATAGTACTCAGGAATACCATAGTATGGATGCTCTAGGCCAGTGATGGCGAACCTATGGCATGTGTGCCACAGGTGTCATGTGAAGCCCTTTCTTCTGGCACGTGAGTACCTTTTGAAGTGGCTGCAGCTGGTATTCCCCCTTTCTCTTCCTGTTCTGTGTCCTTTAACTTCTTATCATCCCCATGATTCCCTCTTTAACTTCCTGTCCATCCCCATGATTCCTCCTTTAACTCCCTGTCCATCCCCATGATTCCCCCTGAAACTGCCACTTCCTGTTCTGGTTCTGGTCTTCCAGGTGGCATGGCAGCCACTGGTTTCTTCCCCACCCCCTCATATTGGGCCCTCGAGCCAAAAAAGGTTTACCTCCACTGCTCTAGGCCTTGGCTTCTAGTGACATATCCATACACTTGAGGATCTTTCTTAGCTACTTTACAGCTGACTTTCCAAATCTTAAGTCTTCTGCTTTCTTGCTGCAGTCTCCATTTAAATTGGTATCTGAAGTACAGAAAAATTTTAACCATATATTGCATGGTATGGATCCTAGAATCTATTTAACAATGAATACACTGCATTTCCCCTAAATAAACTTCTTGTGTAGGGATGGTGCTGTTTTCAGTGTACAACAATTAGCCCTTGAATAATTTAGGCAGTAATTCATTGCAAATGAATGTGGAAACAACCCTAAGTACAGACTTGTTTCCACACGCACATCCATCTCTTCAGTTGTCATGGTTTAATGACTAGCAACTGCATGTGTGAATTGTACCAACTGTTTGATAGTTAACTGGCAGCACATAGTAGCATAGTTCAACATTTGATTACTAAAAGAGGAATAATAATTAAAAAATTATTATACTGGAAACTGCCGGTTAAGGCAAAAAAAGATGGGGAGGGAATTGATGGTTATTATATAAGAAATATATTTTAAAGATATTGCAGGAGGAAAACAATTCCTAAACTTAAGTACAGAAGCTGCTAAAGTTTACTTCCATGTTTGCAGGCCTGTTCCTGTCTATTTAAGGTAGAAGAACAATAGGAAGCAGGAAAGTACCTCAGAGAGAAAAGGGGAAGGGAGAGCCTGAAAGTGGCATAAGCTTGTATCTAATCCTGGTTAATCATATAACCCCTCTGTTTCAGCAGCTCCACTGGCTGCTGGTCTGTTTCTGGCCACAATTCAAATTACTGGTTGTAACCTATAATGCCTAAAACGTCTTGGGTTCAGGCTATCTCAGACTGCATCTCCCTTTATGAGCCTGCCTGGGTGTTAGAATAATCAGAGGAGGCCTTTCTCTCAGTCCCACCACCATCACAGGTGCATTTGGTGGGGACATGGGAGAGGGCCTTCTCTGTTGTTGCCCCCAGACCCCCTCCCATGGGAGGCCAGGCTGATCCCATCTTTGTTGTCTTTCTACAGTCAGACAAAGACCTTTCTGTTTAGACTGGCTTTCCCTTAGTGCCTGGCTGACTGAGAAGGTTTTTTCCCCTTTTTTTCAAAGGATTGTTATGCCTTTTTGCTTTTAAATGTGTTTTAGTACTGTTTTTATTTACTGTTTTTAATATAATATTTGTTTAATTCTTTTCAAATATTCACATACTTACTGTTTTTAACTTTTAAATAGTGTGTTTTAATGATGTAAGCCACCTTGCATTCTTTTAAAGGAGAAAGGCAAGGTAAACATATTTCAAGTAAATAAATAACATAACCCTATAGCCAGTCTAAAAATATAAAACCAGGTCCCTATCTATCAGTCCATCATCCTCCAATGCACACACACCACTGTCCGCTTGTTCAGATCATTTACTACATCAGTTGGTTTGGTATTCCTTTCCTGCATGAACTCTCCTAAATTCCCCATCTGGGTGTCATTATCTGTTTTGGTTGTCTTTTATGTCTCTTTGTTTTGCACATGGAGGTAACACGGAGAAATGCCCCATCTAGCACAGCCAGTGGCCATACTAGTAGAGGTTTTCTTGGAGCTATAGTCCAAAACTATTATTATCTTTCCATCTTTGTTGCCATTGCATTTGATTTTGGCTGTCTCATGCATGAGTGTGTGGATCTGCATAATCACTTTTTTTTTTTTTTTAGGTATGGTGAGAACCGGCAAATGAGCGTTCCTCCATGTGTTCTATTTTCCTATAAAGACCATTCAGTGTATCCAGGGACAAACTAGAAGTATGCCGAGAGGAAATGCTGTTCTCCCATTCCCAGAGATAACTCAGGAAGGGGAAAGTCCCAGGGGACAGCCTTTTTAGCACTGGAAAGACACTTCTGTATGAATTCGGCGTTTGTTTCTAAGCCCTGAACTAAACTGATGACAGATATCTACACTACACAAACTCAGCAAGCCAATCTTGTGCCAACCTGAGCTTAGCAGCACTAAGCAATAGTGTTGACAACCCCTTGAAATCATCATGGAATATTAAAACTCAATATTTTGTTCAATTTATTTGCCATCTTACATACAGCAAAAGGATTTTGGTTCAGAATTGAAGTACATTTACTATGATGCTCTAAGCTCGAGTGACTAACTGTCAGCTGTCCAAGCTTTGAAATGCTTGGAAACACTTCCTTTGGTTTCCAAGGGAACTTCTGTGTCTTAAGGGTGTTCAGTGCACTCAGGGGAGATTTCATCAAAATTATTTTGCATCAAAAAGCAATCAGCACATCAAAGTTGAATTTTCTTTGCTCCTCCCCTCCTGGAAAGAAATCTGTGAGGTAGCAGCACTAATTATGGGTCAGACCAAATAGTTCTGATTCTTTTCCTCCTTCCATGTTAAGTTTAAACTATTTTCTGTAGGAGAGGTATTGCTCTTCCCATCTACAGTGTTCAGCTCCAACCTTTCATTAACTTTGGAACTACAGATGCTTCACAAGCATGCTCAACATCAGGGCCTTGCCTGCCCACAAATGGAGAAGTGACTTTGTGATTTCTTCATACAGTATTAGAGTGGCCGGGAGAAGCATACTTCCATCATGCCATCATTCACCTACCCCAGCATTTGCCAAGTTGGTTAACCCAGATATATGGGACTACAACTCCCATTATCCACAGTCAGCATGCCAAAGTCATACTATTTTGCTCTTGTGATTTCTCTTCCGAAAGTAGTGGGTTATAGGTAGCATTGTTACTTGTAATGCACTGCTCTGATTTCTATCTGAAACTCAGTCCAGCAGGCTTATAATAGGAACAAGGTGGTGGAACCAGACTGCTTGCAGGTGCCAGTTCAAAATGTCTCTGCTAGCATCCTCTGTCACACCCCTACAAGCCAGACGCTTTTGTCCATAGAAGAATGCTTGATTACTGATCATCCTAGTAATATCTGTATAGATTACTGCAATGCACTCTATGTGGGGCTGCCTTTGAAGACGGTCCGGCGACTGCAACTGGTTCAGAATCAAGCTGCATGTCTGGTGAGTGGTGGGGCCTCTAGGGGACACATCAGGCCAATTCTGTTCAAATTACATTGGCTACCAGTTGCTACCCAGGCCCGATTCAAAGTGCTTGCTTTGACATATAAAGCCCTGAACGGCTTGGGCCCTGGATACCTGAAGGACCGCCTCCTTCCATATGAACCTACCCGGCAGTTAAGATCTAGCCAGGGGGCCCTTTTGAAAAAGTCATCCCTCAGGAAGGTAAGAGGGATGGTTTGTAGACAAAGGGCCTTTTCGTCAGCTGCCCCCAGACTATGGAATGCCCTCCTGACTGAAATTCGTCTGGCGCCGACGTTGATGACATTTCGGCACCAGGTCAAAACCTTCCTGTTCCAGAAGGCTTTTAATTGAAACAATATCAACTGTAGGTCCTGGTGGCTGTTTTTAAGCATTGTAATTTTAATTGTATTTTAATTGTTTTTTACTTTTTTATCTTTTAATTGAATTCAAATTGTTGTATGCCACCCAGAGACCATTGGGTAGTGTGGGCGCCATAAAAGTTAAATAAATAAATAAATAAGTTAATAAATAAATCCTTCCCCTGCCCTACTTTCCTCAACCAGTCAAGGCAATTTATTCTTAGAAATAAATAAATATAACCAGTGAAAGAAATGAAGAGTTTTGGAGGTTCTTAGTTGTCATTTATTGGACTGTGATATATTCAGGGTTCCGAAACTCTGGTTGTTGTTGACCAAAAATGAAAATGTGGGTGTGCATGTGCACATACATACTCTCATACACAAGAATCACTTGCCTGCTAAAATGTCTTCAGCAGCAGGTAATACAATATTGCAAGATAACCACAAAGTAAAAGCGATAGAAGTAAAATCTCATTATTGCATTGGTGCCTTTTGTATTGTGTAATGAAGCACATCTGTTTCACTTTCACAAGTTTTATTTCTTTATTGTGATCCATATTTAATGTTCTGTTGTAACCATTTCAAATCTTATTATTGATCCGCTGACATGTATCCTGTGGCCCGTAATCTCTCTATAATAATTTGTCACTGCTCTTTAAAGCATCTAAGGCATCGTAAGAGCTATATAACATCAATTGATTACAGTTTGCAGGTCAATGATTCATTGACTGATTTTTATTTGTTTCTGAAAGGGAGCGTCATCATTATTTTTTCACTAGCTTTAATGCAACATGCATTTTCTATGTATGCCTATAGCTTATTATGAAAAGCAGCAGAAGCAGAAGATACTAAATATAAATCAGAAAACAGAAATAAATTCCAGAAGAGAAGTCACATTAGTTGTTGCAGAAACATACAGAAAAGAAAAAAAAAGGGAGGGGAAGAGTTGTGTGGCACCAGTTCAAACAATTCTGTACATCAACTGTTCCAATTTGGTGCCCTCAGATATGTTTAACTGCAGTGCCCATCACCTCAGCTAAGGTGGATAAGAGCTGTAGTCCTACATGGTTAGAAAGAAACAGGTTAGACTACAGAAAAATTACGTAACTTTAATGTTGACAATAAAAAAAGAAATTGATCTTGTTAAAGATATGGTATACCTCTCTTCAATCCCCAGGGCAAATAGAGACTGCATCAAAGAAATCATAAGAAGACTGAGAGGTAGAAAGGCAGCTTTGAAGGAACTAGAAGAGCTTCTCAAATGCTAGAATGAGTCACCTGAGACCATCTATGTTATGGCATTTTGTATTACAATGTACAGATATGAAAGCTGGACAGTGAAGAAAGCCAGTAGGGGGAAGACAATTTGAAATGTGGTATTGGAAAAGAAGAGCTTTATAGATACAGTGGTCAGCCAGAAAGACAAATATATACTGCATTTACTAGGTCAAATCAAGCCCAAATTCTCCCTAGAAGCAAAAACGATGAACTGAGGCTGTGGTACTTTGGGCATATCATAAGAAAAAGAGGCTCACCAGAAAAGACAATCATGCTAAGAAAAGGTGAAGGCAGGAGAAAAAGAGGAAGACCAATTATGAGGCAGATTAATTTAGTAAAGGAAGCCACAGCCTGATTAGACACAACAACAGGTTGGAAAAATATGGTTTAAAGAGGTGGAGTCAGACCATGTTTCCATTCTGGACTAACAAACAGCTGACTGAGATAAATTCTATGTACTGTAATGTTTTTGAGACAGGCCTGGGAAAATTTGCCAGCCAAGACTGTGACGTATGTACATACATATAAAGATGCATGGGAGACAGAAAAGGGTATGAAGTCACTTATTAAAAGTCCAGAGGAAGAATTGCCACCTGTCCACTATAATATGAGCGGTACCATTCATATAATAATGTAATACATTATACACTTAATGAAACCACTAGGAATGCAGCACTATGTTGAACTAGCTTCTGGACAGTTTTGGCTGCATAAAAAAATTGTGCGGTATCCTGAATAGCACTTTTAAAACGCATTTTAAAAATTATAAATGACATAGAAACCCTTGGCTGAGTTTAAAATGGACCAATGAATGCAGGGGAATCAGAGGTTGTTTATTTCCAGTAATGGGTCACATCCATGAGAAGCAAACTCCAGAACTGTGCCTGCAATTTGTTTATTTTCCGCTATTCTCATCATCCATTGTCTCTTTTATGGGGTGTTCTGTACATTTTGTCAAAGCATGTGAGTAGGGAGGTAGTGTCTTGTTTGTTATAGAGCTTATATAAGCTGCTTTGGGAGCCTTTTTGTCTGAGAAGTGGCACAAACATGGCTTATATAAGTAAATACAAGCTGGTCTTTTTAAAATTTCCATTGTGTGTCAGGAAATTTGTGGATAAAATGTCTTCACTGCATACAAGCTGTCTAAAGAGAGTGCCTCCTGGGTAAGAAAAAGTCATAACTCCATTACTCCATAGATATCTTTCATGGCCAGCTAGTCTTGAATATTTTTGAGATATTGTGGCGTGAGCAAGCATAAAACAGGCTGCAGACAGGACAATGAAGAATGCTAATAGACAGCCTTCCTCATCATATTGCCTTCCAGGTGTGCGGAGCTTCAGCTCCTACTGTCCATCGGTCATTATGGCTAGAGTTGATAAGAACTGTAGCCCAAACTATCTTGAAAACACCAGATTAGAGAAGGAGAGATGAGGAACAAGGAGGTGTCTGAGAGTAAGCCTGTATATATAATCTATTTTCAAAGACTGTAACTTATTCTGTTCCTTTAAGAATTTATCCAGTTCCTGGGAAGGGAATGGTCACTTTGTAGCAAAAGGGCATTCAGGCAGATAGCAACAATTTGTAGGAAATCCTTTAAAAAATCTTAATCTAAGAGATAGTGAATCTTTCCTGCCAATGTACACCCTGGCTATTATGCTGCATGCTTTTGTTCTTTCCAGATTAGAAATAACAAAGACCTATCTCTGCACGTAAAAACTGAGACTAATCTTCCCACAGTGTGGAAAGTCATTCATTCTCAATACAAAGTTGTAGCACAAAATCAAAGGGCAATAACTTTTGCTTACAAGGGAGTAGGGTGATACAGACTTGATTCTTCACATCCCTAAACAGAGACATCCTGAGAGGCATATGAGATACTTTATCCCTTCAATTACAGTACTGTACAACCAGAACCAATGGCCATTTGGACCTTAGAACAAAAAAGTGGAGGACGTTGGTTGACACATTTATTTATTTATTTATTTAATTTATATGCCACCCACACTACCCAAAGGTCTCTGGGCGGCTTACATTCTAAAGGTGGAATCCCAAACAGAGTGCAGTCATATTGGTGACCTGTCTCAGCAAAATGAATTGGAAGTGCAGGGAACTGGGGTTTGTTGCACACATAGTATTATGTCTGAGAGTTTCTCAGTTTTTCAGCCTACTCACATTCTTTGTAAAAAAAAAAAAAACCCAACAATTTCTGTTTGGTTCGGGTTTTTATATATTTTTATATTATGCGCCAACAGGTTGACCAATGTATGGCAGACATAACAGGGTTATGTATGTAAGATACTGTATTTCAAGAGTCTTGGAGTTGAATCAGGTTAGGTTGAAGACTGGTGCTTTAGCCCACTGGTTCTTAACCTTGGGTTACTCAGGAGTTTTGGACTGCAGCTCCCAGAAGCCTTCACCACCAACTGTGCTGGCTGGGGTTTCTGGGAGGTGCAGTTCAAAAACATCCGAGTAACAAAGGTTAAGAACCACTGCTTTAGCCTATAAATCGTGCAACAAAGCCTATGCTATTATTTTAAGACCATGCATTGTTTTCCTTGAAAGGGAGAGCTAGGTATCTTAGGGTATGGCTACACTAGCAGTAAGGAGCAACTTAGTGTGGGCCACTGAAGAAGAGTTGGTCTTGATTAAAATGATCTAATCAAGCCTGACCATTCACACAGAAATGGCTCCTGCTAATATTGTGATGTGGCTTAATAAGTGAGCCACTTCAAGATATTGGCAAATCAGTCATTTCTCATGCTTGGCACAGAGTAGGGGAAGTTAAATATATATTTTTACTGTATATAAACTATTGTTGATGTGCTGCATCAGTTATTTTTAAAATATTTTATTTGCCTTCTCTTAAAGGACCAGTTGAGAAACTGCTTTCAGTTTCCTTACTGGCCTTTTAAGGTAAGGCATAGAAAAAAACTACCCTTCATGGATTGCTGCCTTGTCGTGGTGAAGGGGCTTGAGTAATTCAGAGAAGCTATCAGCTATGCCGTGCAGGGACACCCAAGATGGACAGGTCATAGTGGAGAGTTCTGACTAAACGTGATCCACCTGGAGCAGGAACTGACAACCCACTCCAGTATCTTTGCCAAGAAAACCCCATGAACAGAAACAAAAGGCTAAAAGATATGATGCTTGAAGATGGGCCCCTCAGGTTGGAAGGCGTCCAACATGCTACTGAGGAAGAGCAGAGGACAAGGATAAGTAGCTCCAGAGCTAATGAAGTGGTTGGGCCAAAGCTGAAAGGACGCTCAGCTGTGGATGTGCCTGGAAGTGAAAGGAAAGTCCGATG